TTTCTTCAAGAGGCAGTAGGTTGTAATACTGTAAGTATTTTATCGTTTAAAACATAATTTTGCCATAATTAAGATTATTTAATCCTTAGCTATCATTAATATCACTGAAGACACTAGACTTACCAGCTTTATTAGCGAGATTAATGCCTGTAAGTAATTGTGCGTTGTCATACGGATTTGATTTCTTCAAAACCAAATTTGAGTAATTAGCGAACCTAGTTAAAGTAGCAGAGCCATCTGTTGTAACCAGCATTTGATCAGCTTGGGACCACGTAACTAAACTCATCAGAGCAACACGTATGTTGATTGACTTATATCTTAAATCGACGTTATTAGCGACCTAGGTTTATGCAAAATAGAGCTGTTACATTCTTACAATCTATTTTTAAAGGCTACTGGAAACCAACAGATGTTCACAATAATCATAGTTTCTATTACGATAGATACTCTATATTTTATGGTACACTTGATAGAAGAGCTGGTTTATCATAACCATAATGGGAATTGCCTTCCTATTTGGCAATCTCAAATTATACCGTACTAAACCTAATTATGCTACTATATTTAGTAGTTGAAATTCAATAGTTATGATTATTTTTGTAAACCATTGACAAAAGGAGTATTTGTATTGAAATTAAGGCTTTACCAAGCTAAAACTATTAAGTTAGATAATTTTACTTTTGATTGAATATAATAATGTTGAAGAAATAAGGTTTACATAGCAATGTTACATGCATATCAGTGCGTGAAAGAAAATAGTGAAGATTGGTAGAGCTTCTTTTCAAATGGACGATCGGAACAAACGTAATCCTTGCACATCAATTTAGATAAGAAATGTTACTGTACGTGATTGAGTGTAAATAATAGATGAGTATAGTTACACACTATATCTACATTCATTTGGTAACTTCGAAATAAAAATATCATAAATGAATATGGAGAAGCTATCTAAACTATTGACTAACTTGCGAAGCACGTAGTATCGGACAAGTTTACTAGATACGAAATGAGCGAGTATT